TCCTGACCTAGATCTACATGATTTTATGTATTTCACTGCTGCCACATGATTGGCAGATTAAATAATTGCATTTCTAAATAATACATTCTGTGTGTGTGTATTACACAAAGAGAACAGGCTCAACTTGCAATGGCAGCAATAACCGTGCACAAGACAGGGATACCCAGGAATAGTCCAAGCATGCTTATCCTGAACTTTTATTCACCAAGGCAGCAAAAACAAACTGTTTGGTTTGTTAGTCTAGTTCAGTGGTCTCCAAACTGCAGCCCAGGGGCCAGTAGTGGCCCTTTGCTTAACTTTACTTGGCCCTTGGGGCACTTTTTCTGCCCTCTGTTAAAACGCCCTATTCTCCCAACTGACACCAATGATGGGGCACTATTCTTCCCACTGAGATCAACATTGTGGCACTATTCCTCCCCCTAACACCAAAGATGGGGTATTGTTTATGGGAGTACTGACGTCATTAACTTTTCTACACCCATTAACCTTCCTAAAGTGTGAAGGACCGTAAACTGGCCCTTTTGTTTAGAAAATTTGGAGACCCCTGGACTAGTTTATACTTGGGGACTTTGGCAGCAAAACAAAAGGTGACTGAGCTTCCGTCCTCCCCCATCTCCCCTCCCCAGCTGCAAAGGCAGCCGGACAGGAATGTACACATTTGCGTTACAGCCGGGGCAAAAATTATACCCCCGTAGCATTTGGCAGGCAGTACCACCACCAAATGCCACCCGTTCTAGTGAGTGGCATCACAACCAAACTTCTAACACAGTTGTCAGAGGTTGAAGAACACTACAGTTCTGTACAGCCTACACACCCTCCCCATTCCTGGCCTACTGGGGTGTCTGGCTGCTGCCTGTGAAGCCTCCAGCGATCTGTGAGTGACAGCAAGAAACGGGCTGAGATTCCTCTGCCTGTGCAGATCTTTAGAACTCTCTGCAGTCACTGATGATGTGCAGGCACCCTCCTGCACAGTTTAGGTGGTGACGCTTCACAGACAGCAACTAGGCAGCTAAGTATCACAATGAGAAGGTAGTGCCTAGCACAGATGGCCTCCAACACTCCTAAAAGTGTCAGACCGTAAGAACTACTGGACTACTACTGACAAAAGGAATAATGACTTGCTATGGCATCAGCAGTAAGTGCTAATTTCACAAATGTTATGCATGTATGTGAGCAGCCTGAAAATGTCACCTGATTATAGTGTTTCTTTAAACACTAGAGGGAAATTGTTGGTGGAAAACCAATCTGAAGATTTTTGAAAATAAACTGATATCATGTTCACAACCGAAAACTGAACAGTAAGTAGAGTGGAGACAGGTACAGGATATCTCAGATCTATACATTCTATGGAGATTTCTTCATCAGAACATTTCATAAGTTCTGAATACCATTCTGTATGAGTCACTTTGCAAAGAATGTGATGATCCATTATGCAGATTCTTCTTTTCGGGGGCCAAGGTTTAAAAAAAAAAGAAAAAAAAAAAAAGAAAAATGTGCGGAAAAAGCTCCATTTCCCAGACCAAACGGTTCCTGCTTCCACCTTGACATGACAGCTGGAAGCTGATTGATTACTATCGGCACTTGCTGGCATGCTTTTAATACATAAGCCCCTTTTGTGGTTAAAGCTAAATTCTTGGAAAGTTAAATACATCATTTATATGCATATATATGAAGTGTCTTACCAAGCAAAAGATTTCTAACTTCATTCAGCCAGTTTTGTGGTCCATGCACCCCTTCCAGACAGCATTTGTGTGGATTTTTTTTTTAGCTTGCAGGCTAATTGAAGAAAAGGAGTGAATCTATAACTATATAGTTGTTGGATTTTTGACTGGTGTGTTATGCCTCATTGATGTCTGTATTTATATACCTGTTGATGTTCCTGGTTCTATTATCTCCAGGATTGGAGTTTGACATTTCGTACTCCAGAATGTAGGGAATGAAAGCTCCACCTAACCCAATTTACATTGGTTATGGTTGGGTAGGGCGATCTTGCTGCCAAAGTCACCACGGCATATTCTAGAAGCCAGTAGCATCTCACTAGAAGATGAAATAGTTTGGGACAGAGTGACCATTTAAAACGTAATTCAATTTCTGCTGTTTTGGGTGTCAGGTGGTTTTTTTTTTACAGCCAGTAAACACCCCAGCATGTTATCTATGTGTCTATGCACACATAGGCTTTTATCAGCGTTCTTTATCAGTGTTTTCAGGCTAAACCCGTCCCTTCCCCCAGAACTACTGCATTTTTGAAGAGGAGTTTTTAAGCTGTAAAAATGCTCTAACGCTGAAAAATACTGCAATACAATGAAAAATGTGGCTATCCAGCGTTGGAGCGTTTTTGAGCCCCATATTTTTGTGGGAGTATATAAAAATACACAGACGTTGAAAAACGCTGAAAAAACGAATGCAGGAGCGCAACAAAAAAACTCATGTTTTTAACACGGCATTCTACAGCTAACACTACCAGGGTTTTTAGAACGTCCAGTTTGCATGAGGCCCAATGAAAATGTATCTTTCCTTTTAAATTGTGGGAACTCGTACGAAGAGCCTTCTGAACATCCCTTTGTTGGATTGGATTGTAACTGTAAAGTCTCCCTTATTTTTGTATAGCACTGGGTAAACTGTTGGCACAATATAAATCATGTATAACAATCATTTACAACTATACAATGTATAACTTCCATATGGTGTTAGTACATAAACACAAAAAAGAAGAGGGATGTTCCAAAAAGAAGGCATGCCCAGAGACATTTTGGCAGAGATTGTCCCACATCACCAATGCCAGAAAACTGTAAGCAAGTTCCCAAGCACATTTACGGGATTTGTGGGTTGCCTTATTTGCTCTAACACAGATTAGAGCTGCAGAAAGACAGCGAGGACCTTAAAGCTGAACTCCACAATAAGCGAATATTGTCTAAATACAACATGCGTATTCTTTAAGTTTGGTGAGCTTTGTGTAATTCTTCCAGATATATGTACAGTAATCCAGTTTGAGACTTTTCTTCTGTGCAGGAGCTTCCTGTAATAAAGACCACTCACTGCTGCGCTCTCGCCTTGTGCAGGGTGGCTGGTCTTGCCTCCGCCCCTCCTGTAGTTTTCTGCATGCAGCCTGTAGAGGGGGTTGGACCCCTCCCACAGCTCTGCTCTCTGCACAGGCTATGTACAGCACAGTCATGATGTCACTGCTACTTTTACTACGTCATTTCTGGATTTGCAAAGACCTCAGGTGCACACACTGCATTTATATCCTGTGTGGCTTTCAAGGAATATATGTAAATGAAACTGTTTGTGCCACAGCTCAGCTGTAAAGTTTGGAAAATGACGTTTTTCAGCTAGTAGGGCTCTTCATGGTATTTCTGAAAGGATGGGAATAAAGAGGATGACAATCCTTTCGATGTATAAAATGAACTATTGTATTTTAAAAGTGCACTAAGTTCAGTAAGGGTGAAGTATTCATAATAGGTTGCTGACATTATTTAAATGTTTCTACTTTTGTGCACATACATTAAATTTTTCAGGATGGATGCTAAAAAAAAACAACAATGCATTGTTCTGTTTTCAGTAGTTCTGATAATCCCCTCTCTCACATCCTCCTTGTGACAGGTCATCCTCTCCCCTTCCTTTTTTAGGAGAAGTTATAGAGTTCTCCTATAGACGCATATTGCTGCTGTGCAGAGCAATACAAAGCCATGTGCAGAAGCTGACAGGGGAGAGAGCTGTATTATTTACATACAGGTCTCTTCCCCATCAGTGATACTCAGCGATCGCTGGCGGAGAATCACCGGTCGGGACCCGGTGATCGACAGCTGAGGCCGCCAATGGCGGCGCAGGCATGGCGTGCACGCCCCCGACCTGGAAATGCTAAATCGCATATATATACGTGATTTTGCACAGCCCTACCTCCGTGAAGCAGTATTTCTGCTATAGGGTGGCAGGAAGCAGTTGAACTATAAAGCAGGAATCCTTCCTTTGCTTGCTGATGAGGCTCAGTTTGGTGTCCAGAAACATAATAAAAACACAAGGCATTTTATTAATTTAATTCTGTGAAATATAAGGATGTTTAGGCAGAGGTGCTGACTGGTTGCTTCTGTATAAAATCAGTCCCTTTCCAACCTCTTCATGTGCCCAAGTTTGTGGCACTTGGATGCATCAATAACATCATAAGGAGTCAGGAGCAACTCCTGTTGCAAAGTGGCTTTCTTTTATATTTCTGATGGATTTTAATAAAAGAATATTCAGCCTGGCTGCAGCACTAACAATTAAAGCGTATGTACACCCTAAGAAATATTTTAAAAATATTACCTGTGGTCTGTTAAATATACCTGTGAAGAGTTCACCCTCCCCTACTGTAGCCCAGTGAAAATCATTGGATTATCCCATATGAAAAAGTTATACTGTATGTAGGAACAAAGACATTTTTCTAACATTTGAGACCTATGGTGTAATTCTAATCTCCCAATAGGTTCAGGGTGAAATTCAAAGCCTTAGGCCTCATGCTCACTGGGCCTTTAGCCCTGGTTCATGAGGCTCTGGTGTTTAGATGAGGGGGGCAGACACTGGTGCACTCTTCAGCCCTACTGCCAGCATTTTTTCAGACCTTTGCAGTCAAACTAGCCATACTAAATTTGTGTTATAAGATGCTGCTTTGACTGCCCATGAGTTGTATGTTGGGAAAGGGCTTTTGGGAGATGTAGTTCTGGGGTGCACCCACATCATTAGGAACTGGCCTTCCAGCAGCTGCCTCTGCAACAATTTTGCAAGCCTGGTAAGTCACGGGGAGTGATGCAAGTGTTTTCTTGCTTGAGGAACAAGGTAAAATAAGAAAAATGATTGCTAGAGCAATCCACTGGGGGTCTGTAGTTGTATAAAAAGGTTATGAAACTTCTGTTTTATTCAATGACTGTTACATTTAAGCTTGAATGGTAAAATATTGTAAAGGTTTACTTAGTGGGTAAGTGGTGTTGTGCACGGTTTCCTCATTTGTCATCTTCTTCCTCTTATAGGGGACCAGGCCAAAAACTTCTTTTTACAATCAGGCCTTCCTCCAGCCGTTCTCGCGGAAATATGGTAAGACATTTTTACTAACTGGACTTTCCTGTATAACAAGTTAGCCACCATGTTTTCACCGTGTCTACAAAGTTGAGGGAAAAAAAAATTGAGCCTAACTTCGGCCAAAACTATAAAAAAAAAAAAAAAAAAAATGAACTAAACGAACTTACTATGTAGTTGTCAGAAGAGTGTGGTCACTCTACCAGTTTGTTTTTGTTTTTTTTTTGTTTGTTTTTTTCCAACTCTCTTTCTTGAGTTACGCCATTAGGGTTCTTGCACCCTTGGTCAGTGATGGCGAACCTATGGCACGCAGAGCCATCTCAGTGGGCACACCAGGAGGAAGAGAGGAAGAGGAAGAGAACGCGCTCTCCTGCGCACCTCCGGGGGCGCTCACCGGGCGATCTCCGTGATCGCTGTGTCCTGCGGATACAGCTGACCACGTGACATGGTAAAAGGCCAATCACAGCGGCCTTTTACCACGTGATCAGCCGTGTCCAATGACACGCTGATCACCGGGAAATGCAAATGCCGGTTCTCGGCTGCACTTTCCTCACGCTGTCAGATCGTGAGGAAAGTACTGCCGAAAACCGGCAGTTGTCAGAACAGGGATCAGCACCGATCATCAGGGTCACTGATCATCAGTGCCCTGATGATCGGTGCCCACCTGTGCCACACACAAGTTCCGCCCACTTGTGCCCAGCAATGCGCCCACCTGTGCCCAGCAATGCGCCCACCTGTGCCCAGCAGTGCGCCCACCTGTGCCCAGCAGTGCGCCCACCTGTGCCCAGCAGTGCGCCCACCTGTGCCCAGCAGTGCGCCCACCTGTGCCCAGCAATGCACCCGCGTGTGCCCAGCAGTGCGCCCACCTGTGCCCAGCAATGCACCCACCAGTGCCCACCTGTGCCGCCCACCTGTGCCCACCAGTGCCCAGCAGTGCTGCCAGTCAGTGCCACCAGTCAGTGCCCAGCGGTTGTGCCAGTCGGTGCCCAGTAGTGATGTCAGTCAGTGCCACCTATCAGTGCTGTCTATCAGTACCCATTATCAGTGTCGCCTATCAGTGCCACCTATCTGTGACACCTCATTAGTGCTGCCCATCAGTGCCACCCATCAATGATGCCCAGCAGTGCCGCCGTTCAGTGCCGTCTGTCAGTGCCTCCAGTTGGTGCTGTCAGTGCCGCTTATCAGTGCCCATCATTTCCTGCATATCAGTGCATCATCAGAGCCTCCTCATCAATGCTCACCAGTGCCGCCTCATCAGTGCTACCTATCTGTGCCGCCTCATCAATGCCCATCAGTGCTGCTATCAGTGCAGCCTCACCAACGCACATCAAAGAAGAAATATTACCTGTTTGCAAAATTTTAGAATAGAAGCAAAGGAAACCTTTTATGTTTTTAATTTTTTGCTCTTTTTTCATTTATAGTGCAAAAAAAAAAAACACCCAGTGGTGATTAAATACCACCAAAAAAAAGCTCTATTTGTGTGAAAAAATGATAAAAATTGCATATGGTTACAGTGTTGCATGACCGCACAATTGTCTTTAAGTGCAACAGCACTGAAAGCTGAAAATTGTCCTGGGCAGGAAGGGGGTAGAAGTGCCCGGTAGGCAAGTAATTAATTCCAGTGTTGGCACTTTGAAATAAAAAAGTTGGTTTTGTGTTGCAGTTTGGGCACTCGGGCTCAAAAAGGTTCGCCATCACTGCCCTAGGTGATTGCTCTGCTCCTCTGAACGGCAGAAACTCCTGGCAGGAGAAAAGCTGCTTAAAAAAATATTATTTTATGTATTTCATATGCGTTTAGGTGCTTCAAGCGTTTGAACATGGACAGATCCCATTGGCCAGAGTATTTATTCTGGCCATTGGAGCACATTAATACTTTAACTCACCTAACCACATCTAGCATTTAGGCGCGTTAACGTGTGTTTTGGCACGTTCAACATTTTTTTCTGCTCTTCTGCTCTTCTCTTGAACGCTCTTTTGATGTTTGTTTTGTTTTTTTTTCAGCCTGTAAATGTGCTTCTTCTAATAGGACTGTAAATGCTTATGTGTGCATGGACACGTATAATTACATAGAGGTACTTTTACAGGCTGAAAAAAAAACACCACCAAACTCCTGTAAAAGGGGTGTTTTTTTTTTTTTTTTAAAGCTCAATGTGTTTGAGGCCCTAAAATCATTATACAACCAGAATAGTTTGTTTTATATAGAATATGCAATCGGGAAACCCTAATCACTGGAATAGGTGTCCCCATTGGAATATTACCACTCCTTTCCCATTCTAATGACAGCTGTAAAAGTTTGATTTCCCATTACCTTCCTCCATTCAGCTTTGCCCAAAAGGTGCCTGTGCAAAAATAATGGTTTGGCCTTCCCATACAACGAACTGCCCAAGTACAAGCATTTCTTCAATGTGCATCGATATATGCAGGTGAAGCATGTAGTCTGTGTGTTACCCTGAACTTTCTCAGGGTCATAATGTTTAATTGAGGTTACAGAGAACCCCTTCCTCACTACCAATCCAAATGGAGTCAAGAAGAAATAGAAAAGGCTTGGTGCACATTTTACTGCTGGTCTTGCAGTGAGAGACAGAAGTGCCCAATGCCCAACACGACCTGGATAGTATAAACCAATAGAGTTAGGACATCATGAAGAATGCCTCTGCTTCTCAACTGCAATATTTTGAACATTCTCCAGGTCCAAGGGAACCTAATATTGAAAGTGCCAACATCCAGCATAAATGGGCCCTTAAGTCTCAAAGGTTGCACAGTCTGAGCTGCAAGCATTTACCAGCTGCTGAAGGAGTTTGAGATTTTTAGTACACAATCATCCAGCTGCCAAGTCCCGCTCAAGTCCTCCAACTCTTCATCCTTTTCTTCAGTCCTTATGTATAGAACAGGCTAACACATAGGCTTTTGAGTTCACTTTTTAGAATAAAATATTCTGTTTTGATTTTAATATTTCAATATGTTGCTCTCCAAGTCTTTGATTTAACCATTATATGGCTTACCCAAGGCTTCCTGTGGAAGCCCCACAGTGTATGGAAGCAGCTTACACATTACTCCATATTGGGATAACAGTAGTATTGTGAAAATACCCATCATAGGTACTGAGTAAAAAACACCTAGGGTCCCAGCACCGTTCATTTCCACCCTTCCTGTTACTTGTATAGGAGCTATCTTTTTTTTTTTTTTTTTTGTAAATGAAAAAAAGAAACACTGATCCTTGGATCTTACCCCTCGATTCCTTGAGGTATAGCCAACTAGTGCTCAGTTCAGCTTCCCAACATCTTACCAAAACCGAAATCTTGCTTTTGAGTTGACTGGCCTTTTAAGGGAGCATGAAACCTAAATTACAACTTAATTTGTATAAAGGAGCAAGTAATAAGATCTACATGTATATGCCAGAATTTCAGGGGCTTTTCATCATTCTGATGTGCTGGGAAAAGAAGCTGCAATTCTCTTGGGCTCGGCTGTATTGAAACTTTACTCTTTAGTCTTATTATTAATATGCATTTTTCACTCAGCAGACACTGGCGATCGCATTGATATTTGATTTATTGCATGTTTAATTCATGAATGTTCTTACATGTATCACGTTCATTATTTATATTGGTGTTTGTGGAATTAGTTCTGTTCTGCTGATAGTACTGTGCTTTTCACATTTTTACTGTAAATGTTTGTTGAGCCCCCATTTTTCATTTCACTTTGTAGTTGAGTAATATCTCCATAAAGTGAATCATACATGTTAAATAATTTCATAATCTGCGTTTCCCATTTAGTTTTGTAAAGTAGCTAATGTGTATAAAATGCATTTTCGTTTGCAAAGAACTTGGCTCAACGTAATGCCTGTAGCAGCTCTGGCTTGGCATTCAGATAATGCCACAATGTAGGGACAGTACAATTCAGCAGAGTTCCTGGTTGGGTCTTCCTCCCCAACTGATTTGCAGTCAGTGTACTTAAAGCAGAACTTTATCCATAACTTGATAAAATATTAATTTCTTTAGCAAGGAATATACATTCCACATTAATAAATCTGCCACCAAAATGAGTGTGTGCTGTAAATTGGCTCCAGCATTGTGCCTGTTTCTTCTTGCTGGAGGTTGCTATTTTGCTGAAGCCCAGAGCCCCTGAGCAGCAGTAAATCTTTAGGCTGCCAGCAGATCAGCCTCTACATTTTTGGCACAGTGCCAAAAATTAGAGAGCAACTGAGCGGGTAAGACAGTGTTTTTCTGTTTTTAAACAGTATAGAGCAGCCTTTCTCAACGGTTTCAACACAGGGGTTTCAACACAGAGGAACCCTTGACATAGCTTTCCAGTCTCAGGGAACATCTGCTAAAAGTTACTATAGTTACAACTATCATTAGTGTGATGGCCACTGGGAAGAATGCTTCTTACAGATGGCTAAACAGACCAACGGTGCCAGTGGGAACTTATCTGAAATGCAGGATTTTCTAATTGCTCAAGAAACCCCTAGCAACTTCTGGAGGAGCCCTAGCTTTCTATGGAACCCTGGTTGAGAAACTCTGGTGTAGGCCATTATTTTTATTGTTTCAATTAGTTATACCTTTAAAAAGGGCTAGCCTGAAGTGATCTAGCAGGACTTTCTGACTGGAGTTCCTCTTTAAGGAGCAAAGGATATTGACTTTTCAGTCTTACAACCCTTGTGCCACTTTCTTTTTTTATAGTGACCTTAATCCGAATGGGAATGTTCCCATTTATTTTTCTATTGTCATACTGAGTTTGGTATATTTCTATAGTGTGGACATGTTGTGCACACTTCCATTTACATTAGTCCTTGGCCCATAGGAGTCTCCAGTCATTTATACATACATATACACTCGCTATATGGTCAATTATGCATGGAATCCAGTCCTAGCATGTTTTTGGATTGTTGGAGGAAGTGGGAACAGTCAGATTGTTCACATTAGAAGCAAGACCATACATTCTGCATGCACTTAAGTGTTCTTAAAGAGGACCTGGCCTATAAAAGCTGTATTCAAAAATATAAGTAGAGCACAAAGGACTAGTCACCAGTGTTGCCTGTCGTCTCTCTGCAGCTGAACTTTTTTACCAATAGTGACATGCCATGGGTGTAATTTCCTAAACTGGAGAGTGCAAAATTTGGTGCAACCAATCCGCTTTCAGGTTTTATTGCCAAAGCTTATTTGAACAAGCCGAAGTTGGAAGCTGATTGGCTACCATGCACAGCTGCACCAGATTCGGAGTGCTTCAGTATTCGTAAAACTCCCAGTGCCTTGTTATGCACTGTCTTTTGTCCATCTTGGTGAAGGCAGGGGCTTTGTGTCCTTAATGTCATAGCTGCCCCTCTGATGACTGGTGGAAGAATACTAAAACAGCATCTTGAAAGATAGAGGAAGCACAGATCCACAGAAGAAACTTTCATTCCATCTTCCACTTCATCAAGTGAGTAGCACAGTAGTGACATCACAAAATCTCATGGGACGAGTGGTCCTAAGGGTGACAGTGATTTAGATCAGCGGTAGGCAACCTTTCAGAGGTTGAGATCTACCTGGACAACATGGAGGAAATTAAAGATCCCCAAGGAAAGGGGTGGGGATGGGGTGACTGCCTTTAAAAAAAAAAAAAAAAAATTTCAAGCACCCACCCCCACTAATGTCTTTTGCTCCCCTTCACATCATCCCCCCCTCACAGTAGTGACCTCTGCCCCTCCATACAGTAGTGTCCTGTGCCCACCCTCTAAAAGCATTTTGTTCCATCCCCCACTATAGTGACCCCTGCCCCCCAATGCGATGTCCTCTGTCCCCTACACACCCCTCCTCTCAATGTAGTGTCCTCTGTCCCCTTTACACCACCTCCCCTCCTCAATGTAGTGTCCTCTGCCTCCCATAGCAGTTTTCTTTGTTCCCTTTACACCCCCCCTCCCCCCAATGCTATGTCCTCTGTCCCCTACACACACACACCCAACCTCAATACAATGTCCTCTGTCCCTTTCACCCCTTCCCCCAATGTAGTGTCCTCTGTCCCCTTTACACATCCCCACTGTAGTGTCCTCTGCCCCCCGTGTGATGTCCTCTGTCCCCTGCACACACCCCTCCCCCTACTGTAGTGTTCTATGATCCCCTTTACACTAGACTGTAGGTAACACTCTCCTACCTTACACTGGTGTATAGCAGAGTGGGAAGAGTCGCAGTACTGGATAGAGGGCAGTGGCGGGAGCTGCCAGATTTCACTTTTTACATGAACAAGCTGGTGATTGGTTGCTAGGACCTCCTGGCAGCCAATCACCTGCTGACTAATGTAAAAAGTTAACCCCAGCAGCTTCCGCCCTTTATCCAGTATTGTGACTCTTCCCGCTCTCTGCTTTGCTGTGAAGAGGAGAACAGCGAAGGCTGGGGAAGGACTGCATGCAGGGCTGTGTTCTTGATTGACCCATTAGCTGCCCTTGGTCAATGGTTTGATCGCAGTTGACGGCTTGTCGACCCCCAGTTTAGATGATCTTACACTGCAGATTTACAGTTTACTGTTATGCTACAGAATAGGAGTGCCTGACTGTCTGCAAGTAAGCTGCTATTTTTCAAAAGTAATTCAAGACAATAGTTACTTTTTTTTAAATTGCACTCTTTGACTCCATTAACTTTTTGAAATGTACACTGAGACCAAAAGTGCTGCAGCGCCATAGTGCTTAACCAGAATAGGCAATTGTACAGTGAAATGAGTGTACCACAATCAGGCTCAAGCTAATGATTACTGTCATTTTATAGTTTCCATGCCGTATTAGTAATCACTTTTTTTTTTCTCTCACAGGGCCCTGTCCGACCTCAACAAAGATGGCAAGATGGACCAGCTGGAGTTTTCCATCGCTATGAAACTCATCAAACTCAAGCTGCAGGGACAGAATTTGCCAATGATCCTTCCAACTGTTATGAAGCAGCCACCTGTCTTCTCGCCACTAATGTCCTCCCGCTATGGTATGTCTTTCTAATTATGCTGTGTAAACTGTCCTCCTCTCCATCTGATTCCAAAGTTAAAGTGGAACTAAACTGTAAGCACCACAAACCGAAAATGCTATTTAATTCATATTTAATATCCAAAGCAAACTCCTCCATCCATTCATGTCTCCATGCTTTATTTTGTTGAGAAGTAACTTTAAAAAAACATACCCCTGTCATTTCTAGCCACTGCCATCTTGAGTGGGGGCAGATGATTCATGTAGCTTTCACTTCCTGGAATCCATCTCTCCTTAGCTCATGTATGCAGGCAGGAGGGTGTGCTTAATTGGGAAAGTCCCTTCTCCCAGAAGAAAGAAAAAAAAAATGCACATGAGCATTCATGGGATATGACATCATTTTGGCCTAAGCCAGATGCCCGGAAGCAACTGAAGAAAAAAAAAAAAAAAAGTTTAAAACAAGTAAAATTAATATACCTAACTATATTACTGGTTTAGCATCATAAGCATTAAGGCCCGATTCACACCTCTGTGTTTCTTAGTGCATTTTGCAGAAACTCACTACAGTCCATTTAACATGGTTTTCTTATGGGACACGTTTTTCAGCCACTGGATCTTTGCAAAGGGTCAGGAACCTTTTTAAACACACCAGGGTACGTATTTGGTTCAATAGACTTCAATGTACACGAGAGCAGAAGCGCATGTAGTGCATTTTTTATGCGTTGTTAAAATGCTGTGGTATTTAAAAACGATGCTCAATTGGTGCTGAGGGGCCCAAAGTCAGCCAAGAAAATATCCCCCACACGATCACACCACCACCAGTCTGAACCGTTGGTACAAAGCAGGATGTATCCATGCTTTCATGTTGTTAATGACAAATTCTGACCCTACCGTCTGAATGTCGCAGCTGAAATTGAGAGTCCTCAGACCAGGCAACATTTTTCCAATCTTTTACTGTCCAATTTCGGTGAGGCTGTGCGATTTGTAGCCTCCACTTACTGTTCTTAGCTGACAGGAGTGGCACCTGGTGTGACCTTCTGCTGCTGTAGCCCATCTGCTTCAAGGTTCGATGTGTTGTGCGTTCAGAGATGATATTCTGCATAACTTGGTTGTAACGAATGGCTAATTGAGTTACTGTTGCCTTTCTATCATCTCAAACCAGTCTGCCCATTCTCCTCTGACATCAACAAGGCATTTTCGTCAACACAACTGACGCTCACTGGATATTTTCTCTTTTTCGCACCATTCCTTGTAAACTCTAGAGATGGTTGTGCGAGAAAATCCCTGTAGATCAGCAATTTTTTTAAATACTCAGACTAGTCAGTCTGGCACCAACAATCATGCCACATTCAAAGTCACATAAATCCCCATTCTTATGCTCAGTTTAAACTTCAGCAAGTTGTCTTCACTACGTCTAGATGCCTAAATGCATTTAGTTGCTACCATGTGATTAGCAATTTGTGTTACCAAGCAATTGAACAGGTTTACTAATAAAGGGGCCTTTGAGTGTATATTTGCTACACAGGAAATTATAAAAATTAGACACCTTTCATACGAAGGGTCTGATCAAGTCCTCTTGTCAGTTTTCAGGCAGACCTGATCGGGCCCTCCATTCATCCCTATGGACCAGCAAGTGTAAAAAAACAAACAAAAAAAAACGGAAGGGAGATTCATCCCCCTCCGTCTGGGTGAAAACAATACACTTTTATGATAACAAAAATCCCACAATATATACCCCAATTTCTTTGTAAAATATGAAAGATGATGTTACAGCGAGCAAATAGATGCCCAACATGTCATGCTTTAAAATTGCGCACGCTCATGGAGTGGCATCAAACTACGGTACTTAAAAATCTCCATGGGTGACATTTTAAAAGTTTCTACAGGTTACCAGTGTAAAGTTACAGAGGAAGTCTAGTGCTAGAACTATTGCTCTTGCTCTGACGTTCGTGGCGATACCTCACATGTGGGGTTTGAACACCACTTACATATGTGGGTGTGGCCTACATATGTGTTCTCCACTATATGGGGGGGGGACGGGGCACCTAAAAATTTTTATTTATTTTTTACACTGTCCCTTTTAATAACAATTCCGTGACATTGCTCCAGTCCTCCAAGGGCATAAAGATGAGCGGAGGCCATCTTTCCTCCACTTATCTCTATACCCAGCGCTTGGATCGTTCGGTGGTTTCTCAAGTAGGGATGAGAACTACTGAGCGGCAGCGAGGTGTCGGGGTTATTTTCAGTGCCTGTATTGGTGCTTCTTTTCATATATCGGCCAATGGCCAATAGTAGGGGTGTTTTCGGCCGGAATGTTTCGGTCACCGAAATTTCAAATATTTATATTGTATTTCCGCTGGTGGCTCGCTTCTGCTGTGAGCACTCATGCCAGAAGCCGATTTGCGAGTACTGACGACGGCGCGGCAGGGACAAAGTACAGAGCTCTGTCTATGTAAAAAGGCAGAGCTCTGTTTTAACATGTGGGGAGTGGAAGATCGTGTGAAGCTGGGAATACAATCTTTCGGGTCCCTTAATACCTGTGCTACCTAGTGTACATAAATTACATAGCTAGGCACAGACTTAGCCCTTTTGATTGCCCTGGATGTTAACTCCTTCCCAGTGTTTAGTACAGTGATCAGTGCATATTTTATAGCACTGATCACTGTATTAGTCACTGGTCACCACAGAGTGTCCAGTGTAAAAAATGTCTGCCAAAATATTGCAGTCCCACTATAGTTGCTGATTGCCACCATTACTAGTGTAAAAAAAATTTAAAATACCAGAATATATACCTCCATTTGTAGACCGTATAGTGTTTGCGCAAAACTAATCAATAGACGCTTATTGGGATTTATTTTCCCTAAAAATATGTTGCAAAGTACATTTTGGCCTACCTTTTTATGAAGAAATTAATTTTTTTTTTTTAATGTTATTGGATGTGTTTATAGCAGAAAATTAAAAAAAAGTTTTGTTTTTTTTTCAAAATTGTCAGTCTTTTTTTGTTTATAATGCAAAAAGTAAAAAATACAGTGGTGATCAACAACCAGCAAACGAAAGCTCTATTTGCGGGAAAACAAGGACATAAATTTAATTTGGGTGCAGCATGCAATTGTCAGTTAAAGTAACGCAGTGCCGTATTGCAAACAAATGGCCTGGTCAGGAAGGGGGTTAAATCTTCCGGAGGTCAGGTCAAGGTGGTTAAAAATCAACTTTGCAATCTGCAGCCACCAATGATAGCCAGTTTTGGGCTTATTTTGGTTTGTTGATTTTAATCCTATTGGTAAAAGATTTATAATTTGTATGGCTTGATGTATGGTCAGTGATTCGTTTGAGGAAGTTTTTATAGCTTGACAACAGAACTGGGTGACAAGCCTAACGTCTTAGAGGAATTCCTGTGTGAGTAAATGTTACCAGTGAAGTGTTTTGAAATGATGTGGTCTTGTTCTTGCTTAGTCTTGTTTTAGGTCCAGTACGTCAGTTCATAACTCTTTTTGACTGGTCTTTGTCTTGGAAACCTAAAGAAGAACTCTGGGATAGGCAAAAAAAAATCACCCATTAGTACACCCCCTACACAAAACACTAAACAGTTTATACAATTTTGAAAATTCACATAATTGAGGAGAAAAGTCTACTTCAATTTTCATGACCTCATCTATGTAATTCAAAAGATACCAGCATCTGCCCTGCCAAGGAGGAGGTATAACAGCAGGGATTACATCATATCCTCTCTTCTGTCTCTGCAGTAAAAGGAAACTACAGTTCCCATCAACCAGGGACTTTTGGTGAATGTGGGCAGGTACACTTGGCCTGTGCATGTTGAATGTGTCAGTGAGTCTCAGTCCACCCACCACAGGAAGTGGGGTAGAATTAGATCTCTGCTTCCTGGATAGAGAACTACAGAAGGGATGTGCCAATACCAGTGGCTGGGGGAATAGGAGGCATAGCAGCCACTAGTCTTACAAACAGTAAACCAAAGAGAATTAACGATTTGATAATGAATAGGCTATTTCAGAGCAACTACTGAGTGAACCAGAAGATGGATGACACATTCAGTGAAGGTAGGAAATCAGCAACAAGTACATGTAAAGAGTTGTGCTTTAAATCTTTTGCTAATTAAAAAATAGTTTCCCATTGTGCATGATTCTATGTCCCATTCTACAGCTGAACCCTTCCAGCTTATGGGTGGACAGGCAGGCAAAAAACACAGTAGCACTTTATTGCTGATGGTGATGAGAGTTTAAATCCCAACAACAAAGGAACAAAAGAAAAACTTGCTGCCCATTTGGCTTTTAGAAAGACTCCAACCACTAGATGACGTAGATAATACAGATTATATCCTTATGTGTAAACCAATGTCTTTTATTTACTAGAATATACATTACAAATGGCAGTTTTTTTGCATTGTTATATTTTTTTGAGAACAACATAATTTATATTGGTTCAATGGTCTTTTAGCAAAAAATAAAAAATGACATCACTGGTGGGGCACAATCGGTGCTATTCCCGCATTGATATCAACAATGCAGCACTGTTTCTTTCCTCGACCCCAAGGAATGGGGTATTATTCCTCCTCCCACTTACCATAGGTGCTAGGCTATTTTTGTTTCTTTTTTTTATTCCTACTTTTACTACTACTACCTGGAGTATTTTGATCCCTTCATTAGACCCTTTACAGAGAGTTCTGTCATGATAGTTTAAGTTTTTGGGGTTGTATTTGATATGAGCAAAGAGAGAGCACACAAATGTATTAATAGTAATGACCGGTACAGATAACAAATATTAGAAAATATAACAAGGATACTTAACTAAAGATGCCTGCTATTACACAGCATGGCACACCGGTGATCGGACACATGCACGATTGCAGTCTCTGTTAGAGACTGAGCTCTTACCAGTTTAGCTGTGTATTATACTGGACTTGAATGTAGGGAAATTACCAATCGTAAAGAAGAAAGTGGGCTTAGCCACATCCTGGTCAGTTAACGACATTCCTTTGGTATGATATCAGCTAAGGTAACCATTCTTATGTTCTTATATGGCCTTTTAACCAGGACTTGCAGGCTTATAAATAATGTGAATCACTAATGAATTCTAAGGAAATATAAAAAATGCACTTTCCCCATAAACAGTGGTTTTCCCTTTTCTGAGAATGTTTTTGTTGTGCTAAGGGTGATCATAGTCATAGGAGGGCTATTGGCATGCAGGCACCATCATACCACCTGTGAGTGCCCCAGCATTCCATGGCTAGGAATGTTTATCTTAGCCAAATATTCTTTTCTGCACCTTTTGGATGTTTTTGTACCATACCCAGACAGATCCTGGCCAAGCGGGGTCAGTGATCTTCCACAAGGTATGATGTGAAAATTGGCTGGATTAGGTCTCACACACCTTTACAGCCATAACCGCAAAATTGGATTGCAAAGATCTTTTCTAGTTGTGATATATAAGCTTGTTTATTATGCAGCATCCCTCACACACATGCGACTTTGGGTACTATCCTACTTGTAATAGTCAACTCTGAACTGCAGAATGCATATTTCAGCAGTTACTGGTTGGATTTAAGTTCTGTTCCCAACTTGCTACTTTGGCATTCTTTGTCTACGGCTGTCTGGACCTTCCTGTGTCCAAAACCCCTTTTTTTTTCTATTGGAGAGTTTTATTATTTGTAAAGCTGAGCAGTTGGACAATCTTTCTTTATACAAACACACAGTTGACCACTGATCATTTACAATATTTAATCAATTTAATCATGATTATAATTAAAATGTTAGTTCGCCTTTACCCAAAAACTGCCTGTGCAGGTAAAGGGTGAATGTAGATTAAAAAAAACAAGCTGTGCAGCTCTGACTAAAATTATATAATGTTTTTATTATAGGTGTAGGCATTTACATATCTCCCATAGCCTGACTGAAAACCCCCCAGAGATGGTATTATCACATCTTTCCTTTTTGCTGACACTCCCAGCTATTACTGCTCACTCTCACCAAATACGATTTTGGCCAGACTACACGATTGGCCTTCACTATAGCAAGGACAATATTTAAAGGTTTAGTTCACCTTTACAGAAAAAAGTGTGAAGTTGAACTAACTCCGTACCCCCTCCTTACTTCCTGGTCCCCACTATACCTACCTCCAGTGATGCTGAGCTGTCAGGGCCAACTCACCATTTTTGGGTTTGAAATCCCTGCTCTTCTCTTCCTTCCTATACCTACCTCCAGTGATGCTGAGCTGTCAGGGCTCCCTCAGCCAACTCACCATTTTTGGGTTTGAAATCCCTGCTCTTCTCCTCCTTCCTATACCTACCTCCAGCGATGCTGAGCTTCTCCTTCTTTTCTGTGCAGAGCTTCCAGGACGGGCCAGATTGATTCCAATTGGTCAGTGCCGTCACAATGAATTGATCTGGTCCATCCTGGAGACATGCACAAAATAGGAGAAGAATGGGGATTAGAAATCCCTGGACTGCTGGACCTGCTGTGTGGGGAAATGACAGCTTGCCTTCGCCGGAGGTTAAACATGGGGTGACCTATGGGGGGGGGGGGGGGTGCACAGTGTTCACTTTTTTAATTTTCTTTTACACTCACATTTTTTCTGTAAAGGTGAAAAAACACTTTAAAGTGGTTGTAAGCTGATCCCGCTAGACGGGGTTAAACAAAAACTTAATTGGATAAAGATAAACGATAAACTTACAAGCATTGTCAATAACGATGTCTCTAGATTTGAGGTGACGTGGCAACCGTGGATCAGTTATATTTCTATATCTTAAAAGTACTGCAGCTGACCCTCCCTATCTCCTCTCCCCCTTTGGTATTCCCCCCCCCCCCCCCCCCCCCCCCCTTTTTTTTTTTTTTTTTTGTCATTTTGTTTTGTTCTCTTTCTTCTTAATTCCTTTTTCTCTTCTCTTGAATTGTTTGTATACTTTTGATGCATTTCTGTTGCATTATCTGGGTTCATTGATTAATGGTCAGTTTGCTACGTGGTTGAGATGGTGTTCTTTTTACATATCACCAATGTCTAATAATGTTTTTCTTTCATATGCTTAACTGTTCTATGAATATGATTGTGCACTCCATTTCGCCATGTAGGTGGCAATTGCTGCTATATTTTTGTATTCTACTGTATACCAATTTTTCAATAAAAATATTGAAGTATAAAGTGGTTGTAAGCCCTTGCCTATATACAGTGAAGTGACAAGCCTACAAATCGCTCTACACAAGTTGTGTACCTATTTATCGGCTGACATTTGTCCTTATAAAATTCAGAGATGAAAAGGATTTTTCACAGACTCCCAAAGCAGGGAGTGGGGAGCTGCAGTTACACACTGTACACGAGCTCTGAGAGATGATTGGAGGGAAGGGGGACCCTCGACCATCTGGTTGACTCATCTATGGGCTGCTGAGCTCCTAAACTTTCCCATGTCCTAATCCACTGAGTGAAAATATAAGCAAAAACGTTTTTAGTTTTTAAATAACCCAGAAAGTTTTCTTTTTTCAGGCTTTTTTCACTGTCTGTGTCTCCATTGCTACTCTATCACCTTCTGTGTGGTCACCAGAACATATTGCCTTAAAAAAAACCAATGTGTTTGTACTTTGTTTTGTGTGCATCTATTGCTATACATACATTGCAGCTGTAGGCAGTAGAAGTGTATGTAGCATACGCAATACAAGCTAATTCTTGGGAAGAATACAATCCATTGTTTTGTGTTTTTTGTTTAGGAATGGGGAGTATGCCAAACTTGTCCATGCCACCATCTATGCCCCCGCTGTTACCCCTTGCACCCACCACTTCGCTGACCTCAATGAGCTCTCTGCCACCCTTGCCTATGTCTAGTCCCTTGGTGCCTTCTGTCGGCTCATCATCAACATTGCCAAATGGAACATCCAGTCTCTTGTCATCCTTCCCTATGCCTTTGTCTTCAAGTAAGTGTTTCCTCTCCATGGTTTTCTGTTGTAAAAGATCCAGTCTTCTGCAGCTCATTTACATCTTATTCTATGGAAACATTCATTTATCAGCATCTGGTTGATGTAATGGGCTAAATGCTGAACTTACAAGATACATTGTGAAAAATGCAGGTAATGCCTTTTATTGATGGTGACACATGTCCTGCCTCTGTGTGGTTCCCTGTGTTTATGTATGTCTCAGGGTATATGTAACCACTTTGTTGGTGAGTATGCTTGTTCTGTCATTGGCGCTAGAGGGAATATGTTTAATTTCACTAGTAGGTTTGGGGGCATATTTATAAAGCTGTTTACGAGGGGCGTTCAAGTCAAACCGTGACTTTTATTGTACAGGTATAAAAAGGGATGCTAGTGTGGCAGTACTACGCACAGTAAGTGGCAAGTGTGTCCTATTACTGATAGGTAGTGCACATGTTGCAGGCCAGTCCAGAGACTGCTAATCAAGATGGCAGACAACAGTGTTAGTGCGTGCATGGGACAGCGTGTGGTGATGGTTTCTTGTGAATGAAGGCGTAAAACCGGCGGATATCTACAGAAGACTTCAAGCACAGTACAGTGATGAGACGTCCACTGCAGTAAGACATGTGAATGGTGTAAACGTTTCAAATATGTCCGTACGTCCATCAGTGACAATCCTGGCTGTGGTGGTTCCCAGCCCACAGCAGTCATTTCTGTGAACATTTAGCGCATGGAGCGCCTGAACCTAGATAATCAACACATAACCTGTTGTGAAATTGCACAAGGGACGAATCTTTCTGTGGGAATGATGAACACAATGATGATGAAGTGAGCAGGCTGTCCTAGAATGGTTCAGGCGTACATACAAAACTTTCTATGCTGAAGCTTTCCAGGCGTTAGTTAAACGCTGGGATATATGTATAAATGTAGCAGGGGGAAAAACAAATACAGTTTCCACTCCTTGAAACTTCTTCTTTTATTATATCAACTCAAAAGTCCTGGTTTGACTTGAACACCCCTCGTATGTGACAATTCTCAAAGATTCACTGCATGTGACTCAATCATGCAACAGGAGGATTTGCCTTTATTGAATGTTTTGTCAATGCCGCATTCACTGCTTTATAAATATACCCCTTTGTGTCTACATATTGAACTCTGGCTATTCTGGGATAAGACTATGGTACACAAAAAAAGAATAAAGAAAATTATTCTATTTTATTTATACTTTAAATCAGTTTTAGACATTAATCAAAGCCATTCAGTAGGATGCTAATGTTTTTCAGCAAACACTTCAGCTGTGTTAAAATCAGAGACTTTACCTAAAACACCAGGAATTTAGCCATTTTGTAATATCTGCTGGCATACTATGAGTCCAAAGAGGTGCATGCCACTTTGTGGGCTTATCTTTTCAACCCCTTCACACCTAAGGGTAAAACAAATCCTAATGCCTAATACCATTTTCAACTTTGACATGTGTTAGTAAATCTGTACATGTCATCAAAACTACTTTGTACGTCCAGGTGAATTGTTTTTTTTTTTTTTTTTTTTTTTCAGAACAAATTGGGCTTTCATTTGGTGGTAAATGGTAACCGATATCTCCCTGATTTTTTTTTTTTTTTCTTTTTTGATTATCAAAGGAAAACTGGCCCAAAATAGTAAAAAAATATATTTATTATTTTTAAATAATTATTTTACACACTTGTTTTTTATTTTTTTTTTTTATTTTTCTCTCTGAAAGGACAGATAGAGATACGATGTTTCTCTTTTCTCCATTAAGAGAGAGAAAACACACGGGTGGGCTTCACGGTGACTGATCACTGTGATAGCCAATCAGAGACTATCACAGCGATCAGATAACCTGGATTCAGGAGTTCCGGGTTCTGATCATTAGTTCGGGACCTGGGGCTCACGATGAGACCCCGGTCTCTGTGCTGGGAGCGCGCCACATGGCACAAAGGGAGATAAGCAAATATGCGGCCCCACGGCATAAAGCCCAGTGCAGTGAAGCTGCCTGTTTGTGTGTGGTCAGTGTCAAGTGGTTATTTATGTCTGAGAGTTTTGTAGGAGCTGAGAACAGCTATTTGTAGCTGAGACCATAAGGTCCAGCGTCTGAGTGCCTTTTCTTGGTAAAAATAAAAATTGTTAAAGATTATTCTATGAGGTATCATGCCCTTTGTTGGACTTAACCCCCAGTAATCCAGAATATTGTACAAAGTGGCTGAATTTCTAGAGTTCAGCTTTAAAGTGGCATCCCATTACAAAATATGTGCTGCAGCTCATTATGTTTTTTTAGTCCCCCTGCAGAGTCCCACAAATAGAAATTCATTCTACCAATTTAGTCATCTAATGCGGCTTCTTGTGATTAAGTGGCAACAATGCTACACTGCTGAGTTCAGAGTAGAATTGTCACTTTAATGCAGGGGTCTCCAAACTGTGGCCCGTGGATCGGAAGTAGCCCTTTGCTAGCCCGTATCTGGCCCTTGTGGCACTATTGCTCCCAATGATATGAGGCACTATTTCTCCCACTAACACCAGCAATGGGTCACTATTCTTTCCACTGAGACCAATGACGATGTGCTTTACCTCCCACTGATACCAATGATGGGGCACTATTCCTTCTACTGATACCAATGATGGAGCACTATTCCTCCCACTGATACCAATGATGGGGCACTATTCCTCCCACTGATACCAATGATGGGGCACTATTCCCACTCCCACTAATACACTAATGATGGGGCACTATTCCTCCCACTGACTGGGGCACTATTCCACCCAACACCAATGATGGGGCACTATTCCTCCCACTGATACCAATGATGGGGCACAATTCCTCCCACTAATACAATGATGGGGCACTATTCCTCCCACTGATACCAATGATGGGGCACAATTCCTCCCACTAATACAAATGATGGGGCACTATTCCTCCCACTGATACCAATGATGGGGCACTATTCCTCCCATTGATACCAATAATGGGGCACTATTCCTTCCACTAATACCAATGATGGGGAACTATTCCTCCAACTGATACCAATGATGGGGCATTAATCTTCCTCCTACTGACCCCCAACCCTGAGGCCACATACATTCTCGCTGATGCTGGGCCCGGGACATTTTCTTCCCCAGCTAGCCACAATCCAGCCCCCCTAAAGTCCGAAGGACAATAAACTGGCCCATTGTTTGAAAAGTTTGGAGACCCCTGCTCTACTGTATTCTGTGCTTTATTGCACTACAGTTGGGGTGTGGCTTTTAGCATTTTCACTGCAAATTAACAAGTCAGCACCTGGACATACTTAGATCTGCCCACTGCATTCTGGATTTGACAGAGCTTGTATCTGTTGTGAGCTGCAGTGTCTGGGATGGGGAGCATGTGGGGCACGGAGGAAGATTTGGCTCAGTCAGGGAAGGTGAAGTTGTCTGTTTACTTTGAGGCTTGTACATCACATAGTAATTGGATTTGCACTTATTCAGACAATCATGCAGAAGCCTTAAAATGTAGATTTATGCACTAGAGTACAGCCAGTTTTCATACAACACTTAAAATAATAAGTGCGGTTATGCTTGAATAATGCTAATTTCCACTCCCTCTTCTTATGTTGCCAATCAGATGCAGACCCCATAGGTAGGTTTTATGTTGTGGTTTAGAGCAATGTCTTTTTAGTACTTTAATACATTGGCCTTTTGCTTTAGAGAAACGGCAAGCAGCTTGCAATGTTTGTGTTTGGAGATATCTCTCTTGCACTACAAAGCTTTATGTAAAATGTGCTCTCTGGTCGCCTGTTTACTGTCAAAATAGTGTGGATAATAAAGTTGAGTTGGCTTTTCACCCCAACTTGCTTCATAATAAAATAGCCAATTTCACTGAAGGCTGTGTGCTCATACTACAAAATCATTTGCAGTGCCAGTGGGCTTAACATTTGGGCACGTTACTGGCAGACCTGCTGTTCTACTGACATACAAATATCCTTGACTTGTGTTGTAGTCATATCACTTGCCGTAGTTTAAAAGAGGGCTGTAAAATATTTTGTGATATCAGTTACATGCTTGGGCCATGTATGTGAATATGTCTCATTGTTCATGTATGAATGTGTTTCAGCACTTCCCCATAACAGCTCACTATCTCTAATGACTGGAGGATTCAGCAGCGCTAGCATGCAGAAGGCTCAATCTCTCATAGACCTGGGCTCCAGCAGGTATGAATGTCTGTCTGTGTGTATTAAACCGTAGTGACACTGAAACCAGAGATGGTGAAAACAGTGTGTTTAAAGTGACTCTGGAGGGGAATTTACTAAAACTATAGTAGCTTTGCAAAGTAACCAGTCAGCTTGTAGCCTCAGCTTGTTCAGTTAAGCTTTGAAAAGAAAGCTAGAAGCTGCTTGATTGCCATGCACAAGTGCTCCATATTTTGTCTGCTCCAGTCTTAGTAAATTTCACTCTGTGTTTTTCCCTAAAAAAAAAAATGAAAGCACTAAAAGACTGAATACTAATTTTTTTGGTAAGTACTAAAGCCTCTGGCAAAGCTTTCGGCATTCAACACTTTCTGGAGTGTTGAATCTTTTTTTTTTCCACCATGTGCTGTGTTTGCATCTGCCAGCCACTGTCACCATAGGACACAAGGGGCCAGCTGAAAGGACCATTGAGCATGGAGTGGGACCAGGCATTTGACACGCCTGGAAGTGTTTCAAAAGTGAAGATCCTGCCAGAGCCTTAAAGTGTTACTAAACCCATTCACTATATCTGGTCTCCCACAGTACACAGAACATGGAAATGCAATTCTTTTAGTAAATATAAACTGCTAAATACCTTTTCCCATCAGCAGTTAGAGCAGTCTTGTGATTTTCTATCAGTGTCCTGCAGAACACTGGTTAAA